AGCACCTCGCCCAGCTACACCATTCTGTGTCACATGCCTGAAGAACGTTTCTTCTACAACGTGACCTCCAAGAGCTGCCAGTTCTTCATCGACTATGGATGCTCCGGGAGCCTGAACAGCTACCACTCCGCTAAGGAATGCGAGGAAGCTTGCAAAAAGGCCGGTGAGCCCAGCTGTTGCGCAGGGGGGAGGAGAGCCTGAGGGCCCCCGCTTGGTTCCCCTTTGGTGCATCTCAGAGGCCAGTTCGGGGTGGGGGGAGGCTCCCCTCTTTCCTGCACCCCCCCTGTCTCTGATGGGGCTGCATGAGTGGCCCTTCTTCACCCACGCGGCAGTCTGTAGAGACTGGGACTCAAGGCATGGGGGTTGCAGGGGGCTTCACCGGCCATTGGCCTGAACCCAGGGCCCGCCTGGCAAGCAGCGCAAACTCAGAGGCTTCCTTTCAAGAAGGGGTGGTGGTGAAGGGTGGGGGTAGGGGTGGGATTCTACCAGTTCGCACCTATTCGCCAGAACCGGTTGTTAACATTCTAAGCAGTTAGGAGAACCGGTTGTTAGAAGAAATTACTGGCCTAATCCTGTAAGGAAGGCAGGAAGGAAACATTCTGGTGTTGCTTACAGAAACTGCCTCTCCGTTAACCCTTATTACATTCTTGGCAGGACTAGACTTCCTGTCTCAGGAACGTCTCTGGAGTTTTTTTCCCCTCCTTTGCTGGTACTTTGCTTGTGTGGAGTGACCATTCAAAGTTACAGTGGCATTGAAAAAAGTGACTTATGACCATTTTTCACACTTACGACTGTTGCAGCATCCCCACAGTCATGAGAGGCCAGGCAAGGAGATGTGTGCCTCGATGTGAGTGATGTTGAGTTGGCCACGCCCAGCCAGTCACATGACCACCACGCCACAGCCACCAACTAAGCCACGCCCACAGAACCAGTTGTTAAATAATTTGAATCCCACCCCTGGGTGGGGGGCCCTGAGACAGGTGGGGGGGGCGAAGAGTCCGGAATGAAGAGCCAAAACGAGAGATTTGCTGTGTTTGTACCCCTCTAATCCTCACCCTAAAGAGGTTCCTCCCCAGTTCTGCTCCATCCATGCTCTGCACAGCAGGAGCTGCTGCCTGCCCCCCACCAATTCTGGGGGGGGGGGCTGACTGAAAGAAAGTAAAAAATGCCCAAATCCAATGAAGGGAGGGAAGGGGGAGGGCTTGGGGGAAGGTGGGAGATGTCCTTCCTTCCATCCTCCTTTTTGAAACATCCATATAGCTAATGGTATAGCCCTCCTCTATCCCCCTCCCTCCCTCCCTCCCTCCCTCCCTCCCTCCTGCAGACATCTGCCTCCTGCCTCCCGATTGTGTGCCTTGCAAAGACAAAACACAACACTGGTTTTACGACCCGAAGAACAAAAGGTGCAAGAAATTGGCTTCCGGGAGGTGCGGGGGGAACGCCAACAACTTCAAAACACGTGCAGAGTGCCAGCTGAGGTGCCACAAGAGAGGTGGGTGTGGTTTTCTGGGGGGGCCCTGAAAGGTGGGAGGCCATGCGGGAAGGAGCAGAATTCCCACCTTGAATGCATGTGAGAGGAAGGGGGAAATGAGAGGTTCCCCCCTCCCACCAGCAGCCCTGCAGAAGGGGCCCCTCTCCTTGCACCCCCTCCCCGAGATTCTGCTGCGGGATCCGTCCGTCTGGCCAAGAGGAGAAGGAGGACCCAGGATCTCTTGGGAAGGCTGACCATCCTCTGCTCCATCCCCCACTGGCCCTTCAGCCTGCCCCAGGAGAGAGGGTCCACTTTCCCCGGGGAGGGGGGGCTGGGGGACACCCCAAGGGAGGCACCTAGGCTGGCCGGAGTGTCACGAAGGCCGAGGCTGGAGCAGAGCAGCCCCTCAGAGCAGGGGAGGGGGGTCTCTCTGGTTCTTGGCCTGGCAAGAAGGGGGGGTCTCTCCAATGCCTCTGTCCCCCCCC